AACTTGGTTTATTTTACAGGAATAAAAGAAAAAATTTTTTTAGTACTAAACAGAAATATACCAAATAAATAATCAGATATAAATTTGTTAATCCATAATCACTTTCATTCATTTATAAATCTATTATTCATTTGGAAAGTATTGAATACCAATTATGTGCCTGGCAAAACAGTTATATGACTGCTTTTATGGAATCTAATGGGTGAGAAAAAACATAACCAACATAAGTCTATGTACAAACTGTGGTAAATCTTAGATGAAAAATTACAAGGTGTTATGTGAATGTATCTGAACTTGAATTATTGACAATATAAGCTGAGATACGAAGGAGTAAAAGGAGCTAGCTGATTTAGAGACAGAAAACAAGTATTTCATACAGAGGAGATGAGCACAGGACTTTTTTTTTTTTTTTTTTTTTAGGGGGAAAGGTCCCTGGCCCCCCAATGTGGGATCTGAACCGGGGGCCCTCTGGCGTCCCAAGCCAGTTCCTAACCATTGCGCCACTCAGCCAGCCCCAAGCACAGGACTTTTCAAGAACTGAAGGAAAGCCAGTGTGGCCAGAGCACAGAGAAAGAAGTAGAAAATGGTACAAGATGAAGTAGATCAATTAGCAGGGACTATATCATTGAGGCATATTAAGGATTTGGGTCTATCCTAATAGCAATGGGAAGGGAGGTTTTTAAGCTAACCCATGGCAATCAAAATTGAACTTTAAAAAGATCACTTTGCCTTCAACAAATGGGATACATTTGGAAAAGAAGAATAAATTCAAGAGACGAGTTTGGAAACCATTGCAATATTCCAAGTGAGAGATAATGATAAATTAGAAGGTAAAGTTTATGCCTTCAATTTAACACTTTACAAAGTCTAAAGCTATTTGTGTTCTTTAAGTGACCTATTTTCACAGAATTATATGTGTCACAGCTGAAAGGAAAGCAGAGTGATATAATAGAAGGTACGGGTGCTGTAGAATGAAATACACCCTGCTTAGAATTCTGAACTTTTGGCTCCACTACTTATCAGCTAAGGGACCTTAGGCAAGGCATTAAGCTCTCTGAGCCTGAGCTTCCACATCTTTTGAGGGCACATAATAATACCTCCCACAGTTGAGAATATTAAGTATGGCAATGTGTGCAATATTCTCAGCATGCGGAAGGCCAGTTAATATTGAAGAACCCCGGGAGAGATCAGCTGGTCTCCTCCCCTCATGTTAGAGACCTTCGCCTTCCTTTTGAAACCTGTTCTTCCTCCTGGGTTTTCTTTCCCAGTGCATAGCTTTATAACCCACCCAACTGCACAAATCAAACCCAGGAGGCATCTTCTTCCTCACCTTGCATGGTCATCAAGTCGTATAAACTCTGTTCTCTAAATAGCTCTTCAACTGATAGACTGAGTGTTCTGCTCACACTCTTTCACTATCCTAGCTATGGTCACCAGCATCCCTAGATTACATTATCCTCTTCACTGATTATCCAGCCTCAGTCTTGTTGCTCTCTGGTCCATTCTTCACACAGCCAATCAAATCTGACTATCTCATCTCTTCGTTCACTGCCCATATGTCAGGAAAAAGTCACCGAGTTCCTCATCTTAACAGCATGATTTACACTCTGTTTACGTCTCAGGCTCTCCTTTTGACACTCATCCCCTCCCCTGGGATCCCACAGTTAAAAGAAACTACTCCCCATTCAGGATTTGTAACTCTCAGACACACTTCCCCTCACCCCCAGGTTCAGGCCAACGGAGGGTTCTGTTCCTCCTGGCTGGCGTGCTCCCCTTCTGAAGCTTCTCTTTACCAGGTCAACAACTACTCAAAACTGAGGCCTCAGTTCGGACAGCACTTTGTCTGGGAGGCACTTTTCCTCCATCTACTGTATCCCAGTATACAGGACAACTTATTACACAAATTTTATTATCTGAATGAATTGAACAAGTAGTCAAATGAGGCCTAGAGAGTCTGATTGGATTGCCAACAGTCACATGTGTTGGGAGTGATAGCGTGAGGAGGGGACCCGGGTCTCCTTCTCCATGTTGCAGTATCTCTTTCTCTCCATCGTGCTTACACCTGCCTTACAAATATCTATTGTATCACCTCTTCACTAAGTCTTACAAACCTTCTTTGTTTGGTTTCAAAATGTTACAAACATATACTGTGGGTTATGGCTTAGGCACCCAAAACAGACCAATGTCACTTCCTCACCAAAACCTTCTTTGAT